AACCTCAAAAAGCTCTTAAACCTTTATATTTTTTATTAGAAACTTTTTGTAAGATCCACAACTAAAAATTAATCTAGCATGAAAGTGGACCTCAATTTTTTGTTTTATTTTTCATGAATGAATTCACTATACAAATATGTAAGACCCACAAAAAAAATTTGTTATTGCAAAAAAAAAAAAAAAAAACTTAAAAAATTTGTTAATGATTAATTAACTTTTTAATGAATCTTTTAAAGGATAATTAGTAAATTATTTCATATAGTTAAAATTAATTTTTAATTATGGATCCCAAAAAATTGATATATCAACAGAAAAAATTAGTTTAAGGAGTTTTTTGAGTTTATTTAAAGTTATAGGATGATTGAAACTTTAGATTAAAAGTCTAGGGGTTATTTTTTTTATTATTTAACAACTTAACCAATGATTTGGCAGACTTCATGGTCCTTGTCTAATTCCAACTTTATTTAAAAATTTTAATAAGTTAAAAACCCTTTTTTCTTCTTGAACACGAAGACTTATAGGAAATAAGAAATTTTTTTAAGTAGTTGGTGAGAATTGAACTTCCAATTAACTAAATCCAAGCACTCAATCCTAAGAAATCAATCATTAGATCCAAAGATCTAGTTTAGTTTAAAACCTTTTAATTGAGTATAATAAAATTTTAAGATCTTAGTTATAAATTTAATATAAATTTAAAACCTTATATATTATTGTAATACCCAAAACATTTCTAGAACAATTAAGTGTGAGCTAGGGACCTAATTGTGAGAAAATAATATTCTTGAGCCTAATCACAAAACTTTTAAATTTTGAGGGACTTAAAAGAGAAAAGAAATTGGATAAGGATGGCTGATTTTTTTTTCCTTCTTTCTTTCTTCCTCAGCGGCCCAATTCTACTCTTCTCTTTCCTCCCCTGTACCGAACAACAAGGAGACCCAAGCCCGACAGCACTCCTCTTGAAAAACCGGTAAGAAAAGCTTGGTTTTTGCCTTTCTTTTCTTGTTCAAGAACAAGATTTAGAGCTTAGAAACCTCCCCCTGTAGGAATTTCCGGATCTGCTCTGCTCTGTTTCTTCCGTCTGTTGCTCTTGCTTTGTGGGTGCGAATTGCTCTGGTTTCTGCTAACAAACAGCCACCAATTCCTCTGTTCTTTCTTGAATTGGCTTGGGTTTACTCTAATTTCTATTGGTTCCTCCCAATTTTTGGTAGATCCCAAATTTCCCCCTGCACTTCCTACCGGCCTTCCCCAAACTGCAGCTCCGATTTTGCTTGCTAAATTCTGGTATGTGATAGCTCCATCTAAGTCCAAATTACCGTTAGTTGCTAAATTTATCCATTTAAATTGCTGCCCTGTGCTGTCCGAAATTCTGCAGAAATAAAGGATGAATTCTGGTAGTGATTAGATCAAAATTGAGCTTAATTCATGTAGAATTTATGTGATTGAGTGTTAATTGGCTGCTGTGAGGTTCTGGGGAAAAATCCCGTGAAATTAGTTATTGTTTTGCCAATTTGAAGTTGCAGTTACTGTTCACTAAGTAATTACTGTTCGCGGTACTGTACGTGGGTACTGTTCACGTACTAATTGCCAACAATAGGAAGGTTTAAATGTTTAATTTGTACTGAGAATGAAATTGAGATATCCGGTCATATGGTTATTAATTCTGGAATATTTTAGTTAGGTTTTTGATTGTCCTGTCACCTCAGCACTTGGAGTGAATTTTCTGTGTTATGTGATTGAGGTAAGTAAATTATGGTAATATCCTTTGATTTCAAAGTAAAAGCATATTTTAAATTGTTTTTGAGATGGTGGCAATGTTTAAATTGATTTTATTAGCATCGAGCATGATTGGTTGAAATGAAATTATTTTCATTTTCATTGAGTAGAGCATGCCTACTTAGAATTTACTTAACTACTCTGACTATTTAAGATTTTTTGTAAATTATGATTTTCCTATTAAATCCATGCTCACATGGAAATTTTCTAGTTTATTTTTGGAATTTGAGATTGATTGTGAATTACAAAATTTTTTGTAAATCCTACATGGTTTTGTCTCTGATATAGTTATGATTATTGATTACTGTGCCCGCTAGTGGGAGGTTTATAAACGTTAACACATGTTGACATGTTTATTGATAGGATCGGTTCATTTTGTAATCCTACCAATGGGATAATACATTAGTTATGATTGAAATCTTGCCAATGGGATAAAACATTGGTTACTACTGTGCTTGCCAGTGGGAGGTTTATAAACGCTGGCCATGACTTATAGATGAGATTACTACTGAAGCTTATTCTGCATTAACTGTTTATCATTGAACGTTTTGTTAAGTTAAACTGTTTATCAGGCATGCTTAAATTTTACTTGCGGGCTACCCATATTTTTACTCACGGGCTACCCATATTTTTATTCATTGAGATATTTTATCTCATAGTTTTCCTTGTCCACCATTTCAGGGAGTGAGATCCGAGGCACGGTTAATCAGGGGGAGTGACGAGCTAGACGGTTAGTCAGTATTTTGGACTTAGATCTTTTTTGGACTTAGACTGTTAGCCACACATGCTTGACATAGATGTGAACTAATAAATCACTTTTGTATATTGATTTTTGTTGGTTATAGCCATGACTGTTTTATAAACTTTGTACATCTAAACTAGCGAATTTTTGATAACTGAAAGTTAGTTATTAACCGAGTTTTCTGATTTAAGTTATGTAAATAGATAATTATGAACATCGTAAGTTTCGAGTCTTGTGCATTTGTGGGACTCATTCACGAGTGCACGGTATCTGTTCCGCTCTTGGTTTTGAGGTGTGACAATTATTTTAATCATTAAATTTTTAATTATCTTAATATTTTTTTATGATAACAATAATCACATTAGTATGAAACATGCGCAAGAGACGGTGAGTTTCCTCATGAAATTATTTAAATTTTTTTAATCTAATAATTTATATTTTATAACCTTTTATAATTTAAATTATTTTAAAATAATTAAAAA